TAACTGCACATAACTCGTTAAATACTTAAATTAGAAGAAAAATACATAGAACCTTTCTTGTAAAGAATGTCAGTGCCTACAACTTCTGTATAAAAAGCTTTTTACTGACTGTATAGCCAATACATCCTTAACAACTGAATGCGATATAAAGTCGAGTTACACAAAAGGATTTTAAAAGCGGCTGTATGAAAGAATGAAATTTCAAAATAATTAATCACCTAGAAAGTGTAAGAAAAATTGATTACTGTCTCGATTACACATACTTACACTGTTACCGTTAATACCCTTGACTGAAAGAAACGTAAGGTATTTCACGAAATAGAAATAAAAATGCGACATAACAAATACAAAACAATATATTTACATGAAGTAGCGAATAGCAATGAACTCAAACGTTTCGTAAGTATATGTTTTCTCTTTCAGGTGGTATTTATAATAACTTCGTTTCTTAAATAACAAAATGCTTCGCTTAATCGTAAAAAAGTGGAAAGCCAGATCAAGGATAAACGTCATAAAATATATGAGACACAAGCGGTTTACAATGTGCAGCCCAACTACTTACGCTAAATTATCGTATCCGGAACGTAGAATGTAATAATTATTTACATTAATCGTTCTTAAACTTACAGCCATTTATCAATATATACAGTCGCACGTAATGTGCATACAGTTCGAATATATATCTTTACATGGCCTGCTACTATTACTAGTGTCTACTTCATGCTATCGAGGACTACAGTATCATAAATAAAATGTTATCTTGAAATAAAGCGGATATTTACTGCTGTGCTATACATATATTACCAAATAAAAGTGCATATGTATGGTGCAACTTGAATTAACTTCTAAAATAATTGAGGAACGTTATTAAAGCAAGTTAATGTTTTCAAATGTTACACCGCCGAATTTGAATCTCATATTTATTTTAATACAAAATATGTCGATTTCATCATCAACGAAACAAATTTTCTTTTTATTGAAACACTTCAGTGTATTTGCATGATCAATTTACGATGTATTGTAATCCAATGAAAAAATTTTATTAATAATTTGCTCAAGATACAATCCTCTACGTTTGCTTAAAATTGCGTATAAATTGTGGCGATAAAAAAAATTTAGTTATAGCCTTAACTTACTCAATCAGTTTTAAATTATGTAAATAAGCCTACGATTCGAAAAGATACGGGATAAAAGATTGTGCGCACAGCACAGCCATTAAATTATTAATCGAAGCAATAGCTAACAGTATCAATACATTACGTAGTTATGTTGCGCGTTATCGAGCGACACCACTTTACTCGGTAGTTGATCAGAAGAAAGAAAAGTCAAAAACAAGAGGAATATGTAAATATGGCTAAAACTACATAAGAAAAATGGTGACCCGCAGAACATGCATTAATATTTATGTACTCGTAATACCAGTTGTGTAAATAACTCTCTCAGCGCCGCTATTCAAATTTGTATTCTCGTCGGCCATGGCGGCCGGCGGTGGCATAGCGAAAATTGGCTGGTTCGTCGAACTATTCTGTGGACCGCCCTGCGGTTGGGCCGTAATCGCATCTTCGTCGCTTTCTTCTTCCTATTTAACAACATTTAACAATAAATTCAATTCCCTACCACGATCACCAATTCCAAAGTGTACAAAAAACTTAGCTCGATAAGAATCTCCTAGAAAATGATAATTTAGAAGTACTTGCACATCGTGATGCTAAATAAATCAAAAGTTTATTGCATTCAACTGTATTGTACAAATATATTAATTTCTGTTTATTTTACTTTAATGAATATGAACAGAAATGTTATTTTACTCAGTTTTACAATTTGTGTTCAGGTCGTATTGACTGGACCAATTTTGTTCCGCAAACATGGCGATATACGGGAAAAAAATGCAAACCATTGATTTTATTAAAATTTACAGGTTCTTTAAAAAGGGTATCTGACACATATTTTCTTGTTACTCTCAATATCGAAGGGGCGAGAATAATTCTTCAAGAATAGAAAACATATTCTAAAAAATGTTGACATCTTCAATTTTCATGTCTACTTCAGGATTCCTTTATTCGTACTGATCCTTACATTTTAAGATCGCTTTAAATGAAAAAGCGCTCGTAATAGTCGCGAACTCAGTTTGGCAATTTTCGAAGCGTGATATTTCTTTTTAATTGATATACAAACCTGCGATTCCCGTTGCATATATTCGTGTACGAAGAGCAGAAACAAAATTAGAAATGATGAGAGAAGGAATGAGGATGTTCAATTAGTCGGTATGAAAATGATCGAAAGGCGAATAATATCGTTCGTTTCAATGGTTCTCATTTCCTCCAGTCATTAAACGAAGCTTCTTCCGTTTCTTGAATTTTTGGAGTAAACCACCAGAAACTACAAGCTAATCCACAATAATATTTTTACTCTAAATAAAATGATAAATATCGCACAGTCTTATAGTACTGCGCAATTTAAAATTTTTATAAGACGTAGACAAACATGGAATGAAAAATACATAGTTCTTTTACTAGACGTGTACAATAATACGGCATTAACAAAGATAAAACATTTAAGAAACGAAGATTAAAAACTTATTTAATTAACGTGTACATTGCTTCATTAGATTTATATTTAGTATGTTGTAGGCGTGTTACGAAATACGGAAAGACTTTAACGTATTAATCACGGATAAGATAAAGTACACAGAATTTGTGTAAAGTCAGAGGATTAAGAACCACTGATACTGGATAGGCTTACCTTATTTAGGCCTCTCGGTTGATTCGTCACCACATCTCCCTCACGGGTCTGGTCCCGCTACAATACAACAACAACGTAAACAAAACCGCTAATCTATCGTATTCTAAAAAAAAGAGGCAGACGTGAAGAGTGCATGCTAGGCTAAATTATAAAGATTTCACAAGTTACAGATCAATGATAAATGGCGAATATGAATAATGATTGATCAAGGGATTGTTCAGTTACATCGAAATTGTGCATCGTTTCGTTGCGAGATAACAAAGGAGAAACAAACGATATCACTTTCGTGTCCTCGTAGATTTGTAAAATTAATAAATAGAATGGGTAAGTGTTCGGACATTAAAGTGATGAAACTTAGGGAGCATAAAATTTCTTATCTGTGTCTGAAAGATGAAATGATACTTCACTTTCTATCTCACAAACGTGTCCCTCTAACGTGTACTTCAGCATAATTTCCTCTGTGATGTAGAAAGCAAACAAACTGTAGTTATGAATTTATAAAATGACTTTGATTTCTCTTTCTTTAACGTGATGCTAAAGCTGATTCGACAAGATGCATCAGAAATGAGGAATTCATCACAATTGTCGGAGTACTCACAAAAACGGGTTGCGACCTCGAAGAGCGATTCTATTTTAATGTCACTAATGTACATATACAAATGAACGGCGTGAATATAATAATAATTATAATAAATCTTTGTCTTGTTATTACTGCTGTTCAACATTTTTTCCCATCTTTCATAGTGTGTTCAACGTGAAAGTAACTCATAAGTAATGTCGTCTTCTCATATTTAAGAAAAATAGGATATTAATATTATCTATTAAAAATATTAAAAGCGGACAGTACAATTTAATCATTAAAAATATTAAATGAATTACTCAGGAGAAACAGTAAGAGTAATAAAACTTCCTAGGAATTTTAAGCATAATCTATCGTTCAAAGGTATTTGAGAACAATTTTAAGTAACGAAAATTAATTCAGCTATTTAGAAAAGAATGCTACTGGTTTAAAATCACGAACCTAACTTTGCAGTTACTAAAATAGTCAAATATATTCATAGTTTTGCCTATGTTTACCAGATATTTCAATAACAAAAGTAATGCCTAACGCTAGATCATATGCAAAATCAAATGTCATGCAACGAAATGAAAGTCAAGCGAAGCGCATACTAAATAGAATGAAACCAAATGATTAGTGTGCAAGAACTCGAAAATAGCGATTCGGGCATTCATCTCAAGATCCTGTCCCGAGATTTTCGAATGCCCGCACATTTCTGCAAAATCATCGTGATTAATTTCTACTGCTAATAATAATTAGGCAGCCTACATGCAATCTTGCCAGTGTACATTTATCAGTGATAAAGTGCGACAAAGCTGTTGTGAAACAAATGCCAAATTCCCCCACCTGGTATTAACACCTGACTTTGGGACTGTAAAATATTATACGTGAAAAAAGCTTTGAAAGCAAACAAAAATTATTTAATGCTAGCTAAAATTATTGATGCAAAAATAAAAATCTGTTATAATGAAGAAGAGTACTTATTACAGAAAAAAGATCACGATGAAAAACGACATTACTTATAGAGTATAATGCTGTACAAATTTCTTTTGCACAACTGCTGAAAAATGTATTACATTACAATCTGAAAATCTTTTCCATTCCTAGTTATTACTGAAAGAATGAAAGTCAACTCATGTGCATGATGAATCTTTACGATAAATATTCTAAAGTCAGAACAAAAAAGAAAATTCAAATTTTGTACTTATAGAAGTTCGAAATATTCAAGGTGTTCGAACGCACCACAACCGTTTTTGTTTTTCCTTTTTTGTATCTTAATATAGCAATTGAAATCATATTACTTGTACGGATAAAAGAATCCTTTTTATGACTAGTAATCCTTTAAACGTATCCAACAATCTGAGAATGGATCGTATAGGCTTTCAAACAATCAAACCATTGAATGTTAAAACATCGCCACAGATACTGATTTGAGTTTTGTGAAAGACTTTGTTATATCATTAAAAATGTCATTTTCAATAATTGGTGATCACCATAATTAGTAAAAAATTACGATTTACGAGGAATACTTATAAATTCCATGGAACACTTCTGAATAGAAATTATATGTAGCCTTGTATAAGATTATATTTAAAAAGTGAAAAAATCGGTACAAACATTACCTGTAAATTGTGGTATACCCCGCTGTCTTCTGGCGGTGTTGGCTTAAACTTGCCACAGCAGAAGTTACAGCAGAAACAACAACAGCAACAGCAGTAACATGCAGTTATCACACTACAAAACAGAAGGAGCGCCTGAAAAAAATAATTTGTTTTAATTTTACCATCAGAACAATTATGATTTACAAGTATTTGATTTATTATATCCTACTCCAGACTTCATTATTTTTACTACTAGTCGAAACAATAAAATTAAGAAATTTACCTTGCACCAACCAGAAGTAACAACAAAGTACGCATTGACATTTTCTTCACCAAATTGTTCGGCAACATATAATCCAAGAGATCCATAATTATCATATATATTTCTCTTAGTTAAGTCTGTTAATATAGCATGTGCTCTATTTATTTCTTTAAACTGAAACACACAATATTCAAACTAAAATTTCTTGCAATAAATCTTATCTAATCTAAAAGACATACACATATTAGTACATGACTCATATAGTATACAAACTTCAAGGATGAACATGAACATATTATGAAATGAAAATAAAAAACTGTTTTAATAAATATTTATTCAACTAAACTTTATGTAATTAATTTGATCATTATGTGAAGTGTAACATATGGTACAGACTGAGCTTTACTTTTGCTCCAAAAAGCTTAAAGTATGTAATTCACGACATTCTTTTCATTTTAACATGCTGAAAATGAATACAATACTGCCTACTTAGGTGACCGCTGGAGGATGAGAAAACGGCCACCTAAACTGTGACGTAACTAATAGAAAACTAACTGAAGGACGAAGAGGAAATGAATCAATGTCTATCAATGAGCTATCTTTATCTACAGAGATATCTCACAAATTCTAAAAAGAGATGGTCTCTTCAGCAGACACTAGTGTATCACATTCATTTCTGGCTGAGAAATGAGGAATTCGCAAGACATTCGCGAAATCTATCTTTCTCACTAAACATTCTTATTTTCACCAAAAATGAAACCTACATTTGTATTTAGCATGTCGAAATGAAGAAAACGATGCAAATTACATATCAAAAGGTTGGGGAGACAAAAAGTATTACCCATTAATTTTTCAATTACTTGA